AATTCAGTCCATAAGTGTGAACCCATCAGCGACAATTGTACCGTATCTTCCTTACTGTGTTTATCGGGACTGTTATGGTTCGGTAATGGCAAACCTTCAGAATTATGCCTTGCTTTGATTATCAAACTTTCACTTCTTTGTATCGGCATAGATGAAGATAGAGGTTCCATAGAAAAACAAGTTTCCCAACATGGATGTGTATAGACGCTGGAATATGATAGAAATGATAACTCGAAGTATGGATACAGTCAGCTTGCTCAGTGAGTTTATACTTAGCGTGACCTGGTTTCATACCTGTAAAGAGAATAAGCATAGAGGAGAAAGGGTTTCTGGGAGGAGAATTTACAGAAAAGAAAAAGGCGGGAAACGTCGCCTTCGGTTTGATGCACCGGTCTTTGGCTGGTAATCAATCGATACCCACAATTGCTGCATCGCCTTGTCCGCTAATTCGCTAACTATGATTACGATCTGAGATCCTTACGGACGCGGGCTGCAATCCATACCGAGCACACGCAAATATTCGGATGGGTAAGTGTAAGAGGTTTAAGGTTTATGATAAATATTTTGTGCCTGTTAAACCTACCTTATTTCTTTTTTCGTCTGTATAACTGCATAGCCTCAAGGTCGTCAAGGGTTTTGGGTGTTCTAGGAGTCACTTGGTTGTTATGAAAATGTTATATAAAAGAAAAAGTTACTGTTTATAATCGCTTTGAGCTCAGTATCATAATGTTGCCTTCATTAAGCGTGGTGAGCGGCTCAAACAATTAACATTCAGATAAATGGTAAATAACAGTACAATCAAATGAACGAATGGGTTTAATCCGAACTGCTTCTTAAAAAAGTGGTACAATTGTGTCGCAGTAGCTGGAATTACACTTTGAACTGGTCTTTCTCAAAAAGTCATATTCTATATGTTCAGGAGATTATTTATGTATATCAATCTGAACGTTATTGTAAACAATAACTAATAAATCTTTACTGTTATACTTTTTACCTTATCAATGTCTTGGGTAATTTTCAGAGACTAGTAGGGACCTCTACTGTCCTCCGATAGGCACAGTTCACTTGAAAATGGTTCCAGTGATTTTCCCTTTATATGAACCTGTGACCCCACAAGGTACTCAGTCTAGAAGAGGGTGTGTTGCGATTCACGCGTGAAGATTTCAAGTTATTTGGCGTGAAGAGCGGGGTCTGTGCGCTGCGGGGCCGTGCACGAGACGCACCATAATATCATGAATTCCATCGAATAGGGAAAACTAGAATCCTATAGAAGACAATTATGAAAAAGATTTTGATGCGTCGTTTCCACTGACGTTATTCTCATGAGGATGACTTCATAGTAAAAGTCGCGATTCCTAACACAGTAATGCAATGCAAACATGCAAGTAAAGCCAAAGTGCGATATAAAAGTGCAGGACGTCATTCTAGCTCTCCTCGGAGAACCCGTAGAGTTAAGAACTAAATATAGATATTGGCTTCCTCTGCTTGAACTCGGACGAGGCTGATAAAAATGTGTGGTCTGCGCAACCGGCGAGGAAATCGACTGTGCAATCGCAGGGGTTGACCACAAGATCACATGTTGCAGCTATTGGGATCTTGTTGTTTGAATCTTGTTTAATTTTCGGAACAAATGAGCGTAACATTTACCTATTTTTATCATCTTTTGTACATTCTCCGCCATTGTTTCTGCGAATAAATATCTCATTGTACATTCGTCACGTGGATCTGTTCTCCCATTTATCATTAATCTTGTTCCGCTCTCGAAATGAGTAAATCAATCTTTGTACATCTTTTGGTGAAAATATAGTGGGAGTGCCACCGCCTTTTTGTGCTCTGTGTCTCTGACACCACGCGGCTGTGTGCATAGAGGCTGCGCTAGAGCGCGGAGATGGTTTCCTCCCCTTCTAAAAGTTAGGAGAGGAGCCCGGGGTGGGAGAGATGATTATCTCGTGCAAAAAGCTGGGATGGGGTAAGAATTGAACATCCAATCGGTTCACCCACCCCGGAGCTCCTTCCCCAACTTATAGAAGGGGAGGAGCTCCGGGATGGTCGAGATGATTAGATGGGATAAGAACTGAAGAGGCGCAAGCACGAAAGGGCCCTGCACCTTCCAACTATTACATTTTTATTACTTGTTGATCCTTCTTCACTATGTTCTTACTACAGCAATATTTCATTGCATATTCATAATGCGAATCGACCCTCTTATTTACTACGGATTTTGTTTGATTCTGTAAGTCAAACTTTTACTTTTACTTTAGTCAAACTTTTTTACAGTACTTCACTGCACATTCGTTATGTGGCTCTATTCTCTTATTTACCACTAGTCTCATTTTATTCTCGAATGGATGAGTCAATCTTTTATCCATCTTTTCACTACATCTTGATCTTTCTTCAGTAATCTTCATACGTCTGTTATCTATCTTATATCATATTATTAGTGCAAATATTCTGTGCAAAATTGTAATGTGTCCGGGTTTTGTGTGTGTTGTCGTAGTACTGCTGAAATGCGGGTCTTCTTATATTTATTGCGCTGACAACAGGACCGGAGAGCAGGAGACGACTGACTAATTGAACCCTACTTCACTGCATCACTCTTTTATACTGCAGTTATACAAGAAACGTAAAGAACAGTCAGATCATTGTAAACAATCCTATATGACAGACAGTTCGAAATCATTTTTGATAACATGCATGCTGTGATGGTTATAGAGGAACCTCTATAGAAGGTACAAAGAATGAAAGGAGCCTCACGGACAACGACAATCTACGCATCTGGTTTCACTTGCGAGGGCGACACCTATACCACGAAAATATACAGATGAAGGTCACTCGAATCGAGGCTACATGACTCACGTAATCATTGGACAGGCTTTTTTGCAACTTTTCACTACCTTATGCGCAAATGTATTAGTACACAAGTGTACTGGTGCTCCAGTGAAGCGAATAAACAATTGTTTTCGAGTTTTTATTTATCAACTCCATTACAGGAGTAAATACAGCACGGCAAGATATACCATCTTTTCCAAACTTACAAGTTCTGCATAGACCAGTTTAGTAAGGGTAGCACTTCAAGTTTATATTACGTACTACGCACGCATATGTACTACGCATAT